CTCTTACAATCATTAGCAAATAGCACTCGCTTCAAGCAGGCTTGGCAGTGGGCTCTCTCTGGACCACTATATTAAATTCTGCAGAGGGGTCGGGGCGGTGTATTCGCATGAAACTTTAGCTAAGTGGTGCTCTCTGAAGAGCTGATGCTTCTGAGAATAGGTCGTGTCCCGTCCACTTGTTTTGTTCAGTGGCCAGACCGCAGAGACTGCAAAGGGGCTACTCGGGGCTGGGCTATAGCCAGTAGCGGCGGGACATGCTTTGACAGCTCATGGTGAAAAAAAAAGAGATTCTCCAAGACAAACGCCTTAAATTATTGGTTTGCACATTAAGCTCATGTGGAAATTTTAAGTTTGAGTTCTGCTCCTGATCCTATTTCACTGTCTCCTACAGATCACCTCCTGTTTTCTCAACTAAAATTTTAAATTTGTCAACTTAAACATGAATAAGTTGATGTCATACAATGCTCAAGGTCTTCGAGTTACAGAATCGGATTTCCAGATAGAACCTACGCTAAAGTTGCCCTGTAAGGACCACGTGAACACAGAAAAAATGAAGGTAAGGTCTGTTCGGTGCTGGTAGATGCCAGGGAGGGTCGTGGCCTCTGGGTAGAGATATTGCGCACGAGAGAGAGAGAGAGATAGAGAATGAGAGGGAAAAAGAGAGATAGAGAAAGGCCCTTATTGATTCTAGGAGCTTTTCACATGCTAATGTTCTCGCTGTCGGCTTTGGTCCCCCACCTCCTCTTAGCCAAGAGCCTTCAAAGGGAGGCTGCCACACAAAGACAGGGAGAATGCACTGTGCTGCCCGCTGAATGGACGCTCTCGCATAGCGCGCAATATATGCTTTAAAAAACACCAAGAACAGCTTATGACATAGAGAACATTGCACTGGAGAATCAGGCAGACTCTTTAAATCTCAAATGGAACGGATAAAATCTAACAGTTTGATTACATGCATCAAGTCAGAGCCAAAGAAAGCAGTAACAACTTACAGTGAAAATAAGCAACATTAAGTCTAGATTTTTTTCCCCCTCTCAAGTGATCCAAAATTCAACACAGCGCAAGAATTCCTTAGACATACTGAATGCACATGCACAGGGTTATGGATTGTGGTTACTATGAATGTGCGGCCACAAGCTCGTGCCTCTAAGCGGAGGTGTGTGCCGACGAGGTGGTGAGCGAGCAGAAAGAGTTTCTGGATTCTCGGATTAATGTCCAGCAAGGGATATTAAAGGGTAAATGTGTCAACACCACGGCAACGATGAGTGAATTACGCTTCGCAACAGTATCTTTTTCAAATTACTGCTTTGCTTTCTGTCATGTGTGTTAGTTTTTGAAGGTTGAGTATTGCAAATATAATCAGGAGAAATGCATGTGTGGTTGGATTGCGAAAGTCTTTGTACACACACATAAATGTTCTGGGAGTCTGTTAAGGGAAATATACTCAGGTTTTTTTTTTTAAGTAAGCCACATGTGTAAGAGGAGGCACGCAACATTGTAATGCTGTAAAGGGTCATTTACAGGCCAGGATGAGTGAGCGTGAGTGTGTGTGTGTGTGTGTGTGTGTGTGTGTGCGCGTGTGTGTATTCTAATTATAAAATGCATAAGTTTGGTTCTTTAATAACTATCGATTTAAATATACATCTTTAAAGAACTTCTCAGCATTCTTTCTAGTGAACACTTGGAAAAAGGCATAGTTAACTATTATACAAGCTAGCTAAGAACATTGAAGCTATTAAAGAGAGAAATATCTATAATGATATTATATTTTACAGAAAAATACTTCATAATTATAAGATTTGATTAGATCATATTTGTAAAATAATAGATAAATCTATGTATAAATCGTAATTACGATGACTTTACGATGAAAAAAAAGCTTAGTATATGAATTATTTAGCTAAAAACTGAAAATTCTGTCAGTATTTACTCACCCTCAAGTTGTTTCAAACCTCTATTTGTTTATTTGTTCTGCTGAACACAAAGTAAGATATTTGGAAGAATGTTTTAATCAGACAGATATCATTCCCCATTGACTCCCCATTGTATTTTTTCCTACTATAGTCAATGGGGAATGAGATCTGTTTGATTAAAACATTCTTCCAAATATCTTCCTTTGTGTTCAGCAAAACAAATAAACCAGCCTGGTCTCATTGTTAATACGTAGCTATTTTACGTTTTTGCAAAGATAGAAAACGTACTTTTTAGTACGTTTGCATAGATGCTGAAACGTATAATATAGACGTATCTGCAACATTTAAACGTAACATTATTACGTTTTTACAGCTACAAAACGTAAACTATTTACGTATATTCTATATCATAAAGATATCTGGATAATATCCCTTTTTACTATTTTATAGATAAATGTAAGATCCCGTAACCCTAATCCCAAACCTAAACATACCCATTTTATACTTAATATAAAAAAGGATAAACCGTAACAGACAGGTGTTGGGAAAGGGCAGTTTTTATACAATATAGCATTAAAATATATTTTGAGCCACCTACTCCTACCCCTAAACCTACCATAACAATTCCTTAAAACTACGTAAAAAACTACAATTATGAAGAAAAACATAACTAACAGACAAGTATAATCACAATAATTTATTTATTGCGAAAATGTCAAAACCGATACCAAAAGCCGTTCACATGATGAAGCGTTGCAGTCGCAGTCTTCTCTCTGGCAGTATTGTAATAGTTTTGTATGAAGTACAGAGCAGAAATTAAATTACTAATGAAAATGTTAATCCGGCTTCGGTTGGTTCGCGCTTCTCCATTTCAAAATTCAAATGAACTAAACTAACCAACCGTCTACAGTCCTTCATGTCGCAAACTGTGACGAAGCAGGGAAGAGCCAATGAACGTTTGATATCGCTGCCGTAAAAGATGACGTATGGGCGCAATATTTGAATTTGAATTCATCACCAGCGCGGGGTTTGACTTGTAACGTTACGGTCGCTGCTGAGAATGGAGATCACGAGTCACGACTGGATAAGAGGCTGAAATCGCTGAATTAGGAGTTGTTTCTTGCAAACAACTATGGATTCTAAAGATTTGGATTACATCAAACTATTAAAATTGATGTCTTTTGTGAATTTTTGTTGTGTTTTATAGGAGAAAACGCTTTATGTGTCTCAAGGTAAATAAACTATTACAAAATGGTTGAACGAGTAACGTTAAAGAATGTATTTTTTAAGGTTTTATAGTGTATTGTTTAACACCATGCAGGCGAAACGAGCAAAATGTTAATATTTATGAGTATTATATCAATAATGCGACTGAAAACTTCATTAATAAGACAGTGGGATGCAATAGAGTCAAAACATAATGCTACGATATTAATATGCATAAATTGTGATACGTACAATGTGTACGTCGGTGGATTTGTTCATACGTAAATAAATTACGTTTTTGTGCTATCAATACGTAAATATTTTACGTTTTAGTACTGTAAATACGTCAGTATTATACGTTTCTGCGCATATAAAACGTAATTATATGTACGTATGATAGAACGACACTTTACGTACACATACATACGTATTCTCATGAGATCACGTTGAATAAACACATAGAGGTTTGGAACAACATGAGGGTGAGTAAATACTGACAGAATTTTCATTTTTGGGAGAACTAACTCTTTAAGTTTTTTTGTTTGTGTGTTTGCTAGCTTTAGTTTGCAATTCAATGTGATATAAAGGCCAACAATGAATCATTTTGTCACACTAAACTGCTACTTGATGAAAAAGTAAATTTTTGCCAAAAAAGCTAAACTATTTTAAAAACCATTGAGTCACCGTCAAGCTAAAAATGTAGCTAAGTTAGTAGCTTAGGTACTTTTGCTACTTTTTACTCCTCAAGGACACCAAATTATTTTCTCATTTCACAGTTATATTTTGGTAACCAAACTGCTAAGCGACAATGTCAAGCTACATTACAATGCTTCTATATAAGGATTCCATTCCTATGTTTCGAAATTCCTTGATCAAATTTATGTCTACCGAAGTGCTTTAGCAAAAACACTTCATCTTCCCCTCCCGCCTTTCTGTCTTTCTCTCAGCGCTAACAAAGACATAAAGTCACAACTAATTGCATTCAGTGACAAACTGAGTGGCTTTTTCCACAGCAGCTGGTCTGGGAGAGACCAATCCACTCTAACGAAAACCCCAGGAATGGAATAAACCCTCAAGTCTAATGGCAAGCATTAGATCCAGCCATGCTTCAGCCCCTCCAAATAATTACTAGTATTAATGTGCATTGTGAAGTCGCCGCTGTGACCCCTCTGGGCTAATCACTAGTGTTGCCTTGCATTGTGGAAACAGGTCTGCCAACCCCCAAAATAATCCCATTACTAAGTCTGTCCTTTCTCCAGCTCCTGTTCTTGTAGACACGCTCTCAGCT